TAAAAGTAAGCTTGAACTTTCGATTATGTCAAATAGAATTTCTGATATATATTATAATATGTAAAGGATCTACAAAGCGAAAGTATGTTTCGAAGTTCATTAAACAAAAAGTGGAATTGCTGCAAAAAATGATAAGGCATATCCTTTGTTTATCTAAACTTTAACGTTGTTTATCTTTAACGCGCCGCGGTGCGCAATGAATTGGAAGTTGATCTGTCAGCACTATCCTTATCTTCAGGCAGATGTTTTATTTTATTTGGCTTATAATTTATACTAAATGTAGTATTTCATCTCGATGTACTCCTTCTTTGATATGATTTAAATCAAATTCCTCGTCATTATAATTCGCTTCCGATAGCGAAGAAAGTGACAGAGATTATTGAAAACGAAAAAATTTCGATTGACAAATTAGTCGGTAGACACAGCAGTTATAGGACTTGAACAGCGGAACTTTGTAACTGAACAAGAAATTATGTCTGTTTATAGAATTAAAGAGAATGTATAAAAAACGAAGCAACTTAAACAACTTACATTGAAAGAAATGTTTAATAAAGTAAACAAATAAATATTAAGCTTTTTTTGTAATTTTTGATGCCCTTTAGATCATAATTGTTCTTTATTTCATAAATTACGGTTTCATATTTTTAGTTTTATAATTTCTGCATGCCATCTTACCAGATTTACACTGATGATCTATAATCCGGGATCGCCGAAGTCCCCACGAGTCTGGATTAACGACTTTTGACTGTATAATACAGGACAAAATTATTTGGTGGAAAGTCGTCGTCGTTCATAGTTAACCACCTAAAAATGCCGTTTTGAGACTAATAGCCTTTCTGGTATACCGCCCCTTTGAGCTAAAACTAAAGAACAGGTTTCAAATATAAGTACAAACACTGAAAACAAACTAAATTAGATGGGGAAGTTGGAGTCTCGAGTGAGGTGAGTCGCGAGCGGACGATAATTTTTATCTTCATCGAGAACTTTATAAATCAAAACTACTGAGATGGGCAGTTTACGGCACAGATGGGTACAATGGCTGCTCAGATGGGCACAATTTATGGCTTTTTTGAAGAAGTTATCGTTCATTGCGATTGAGTTGGTCAGCTACTCTTTCGATCTTTCGTTACTAACAATGAAATGGGCGTCACTGATTACTCTGAGATACTTATTCTGAGTTTTGTAGGAAGTTTGTAGTATCATAAGGAGGTGTTTTATAGCAGTGTGTCAGCGACTTCATCGAGCCCTGGAGCTTTCCGGCTTTTGAACCTTTTAAAATTGTGGCAGATTTCATTAGGTGACGTAAACACGGTCTTATTTTTAACTGTGGGCGCTTCAAGCCACTTAGCAATGAAGTCTGGCATTTTTTCCACAAAACTTTTTATTTGGCTTAAATTGATTTTCAAGATGTTCTGCAAGTACGATAGCTTTATCCTCATTAGTAAGGGCAGTCTTATGTTCTGTGTAAATTGCCCTATTTATAGTAGATTTTGGTTTCAGCCGTTTAGGAAATGCGCAGGATTCATTTGATTTATTAACGCTATTTTCTCTTTCCATTTTTCTTTCCTAAATTGGCTAAAATTAATTTTAATCTTTCTGTTAAGCTCATTCATTTCCTTTTTACTTCTTTGTACGAAGTAAAGGAAGTATTGTAATCACAAAAAAATCAGGGTATCATATTTCAACGAAAATATTTATTTTGACCGCTATCGAATGCAGTTTAACGATGTTTTTGCGTCACATCTGTACGCAAGGACAGAGTAAAGGACTCCTTTCTTCCCCCTAAACGAATTATCGAACTGATTTAAAATGGATTCAAAAGCGATTTGTTTGGTGACATCTGTACGTACGTACGTATGTATGTATGTATCTCGAATAACTCAAAAACGAGCAGCCTCAGAACTTCGAAATTTTGAATATAGGACTGTTATACGATGTAGTTGTGCACCTCCCTTTTGGTTGGAATTGACCGCACTAAAAGTGTATATAACTTGACTCAGTGAGCTCAGTTTTTTATTCATATGTGATAGATTGTGCATTTTTGCTTTTAAAATGATTGAATTATATTGTTCTTATGTCTTTAGTTAATCTGCATGAAGTAGTTGCAGAATTATCAACAATGTATTTTTACATTATTGATAATTCTACAACTATTTAAATGTGGCTAAGGGTTTTCCCCCCTCTCCCAGAGGAACCATAATTGTTTACAAAACATTTGAAACAGCAGAATAGTGAATTAAGTCTTACTGCACCGTCAGGAGCCCGGGGGATTATCGATAGCGATAAGACGTGTTTTTCGAGCTCCGTCGTGCTACCTCATTATAGCGGAATTTTTCATCTTACAATAACGAAAGGGGTTGCTACATGTAGCCTGAAGCATCAGGTTTACGCAGATGCAAATTATATGTCTATACGACAATTAGTTCGTTAATTACAGAATTTTTCATGTTTTCACCATAAATTAGCGATACTTGCGCTATTTACAGCGTATTCCTCTACTTCACAGACTCATCGAGAAGCCGTCTGCAGTCGCCGCGCTCCACATCTGGTACCACTGGAAAGAGGAATTTTTGGAAAAGGAATTTTTTAACTTTAATTTGAATCTAATTTCATCCCATTCTGATAATTAGATGATTAATTACATGCAATAACATCCAAATGAATTAGCGAATGCAGTACACCTACACCAGAAACCGTTGCAGGGAACTGCAGCTGTGGCTGAGTCATCGAGAACTCTAACGGCCGATTTTTATGTAGTGGACCTTTCTGAAGGTACCCACTAATTACTGTTCTAATTAAGATATCTTCTTGAGATCGATGTCATTGATCTTCCTGAACCTTCGCAGATCCAAAATTCGAAATTTAAAAAAAATCCGTCGGCTATATCAAATTTTACAACCTTTTCCGCCATTTAATTCGACTTGGCGAAATTGTGCGGTGTCGTGTTTTAGTGCAGTGCCTAAGTGTGTGTTCCATCTTTCAGTACCTTTGGATTACCTCTTGATTACTTCAATTATTAAATATAGATGACAAACAGAGAAGTATAGTCTGCCAAGGTTAGTTACTTGCAATTACCTTAAATTAGCAATTACTGAGACAATCACGTAAATTAGAGCCTTGCACTGATCCTCCTAGTGGGCATCGGAGATAATTACCAGTGTGTTGTTTATTTGTTAAGTTCTTGACTGACCTCAGTATATTAATTTTTATACATGTTGGTACTTTTTATAATCGTGTACTGATTGTGTACTAATTTGTAATGATGGTATATTGTTTCTTGTGATTAGACATATACAGTGTTATACTGATTGTTTCATGTTCTCCTGTGACACTACAATCTGACTATCACCAGCGCTGTTTAATTTGCATTGCTTCTACAAACGTAAGCACCCTTACATACAGTGGTCCCTTAGCGATAGGACACTTTCCCTACAAGGGTACTTGCACAGTGTAGATACAAAGTGAGTATGCCTAAAACACGAAACACGGACGTAAAAAGGCATCTAGGTCAGGACAGCGAAGAGCAGTCCATAAGACATAAAAGCAAAGACAGAGGAGAAAGGCAAGACAGCCGAGACAAAGACTCGTCTTCAGATGCAGCTCCACAAACAGAGCAGGATATCACAGGATTAGAGACAGAGACACAAGTAGACGGAGGGTCTACGTTCGACGAAGATCATTTTTAGTGTCCAAGAAAGTTTAGGTTACTTGACGGAGGTTAGACGGAATCTTAAATTCCGCAGACATACACAAAAAGGTAACAAAAAAGATAAACGAACACTTTGTTAAAGTTCTTAATATAATTACCAAAAAGAACATGCAGATAGCAAACTTAGAAGGACAGTTAGGGAATACAAAATGGATAGAAGACTATTATAACTGGCGTTACAAGCATAGCAAAGCCCACATATGCCAGCATGGCACAAAGAGGTAGATCGAGATCCAGATCACAGACGAGAGCACAAAACACCCAAGAATACGTCACGATAGTTTATCCCAAATCTGACATGACATCAGAAGAGGTACGTGAAAAAGTAGTTAGTAACATAGACCCAAGCACGCCTTAAAGTCGGGGTCAAAGCAGTTAGAAAAGTAAGAAAAGGAGGGGTTCTGATAAAAAAGTAGACAAGAAAGAGGAACTAGACATTCTGGAAGATGCGATAAAAGAAAACTCTAAGTTAAAAGAGATTGTAGAGACTAAAAGACCAATTAAAGTCAATCCTAGGATAGTAATATACAACGTAGACAAAGACCTTGATAAGGACTTAATAAAAGAGAAAATCTTAACTCAAAATCCAGGGATAGAAAAACGCTGAGATAGCAATACTTTTCCATATGAAAGGCAGATTCGGTAATAACTGGGTAGCCTCTATAGACCCGACCAGCTTCAAAGCAATAATGGAGACTAAGAAAATTAATATACAGTGGACCAGGAATAGTGTCAGGGAATTCATTCAAGTTTCTCAATGCACAAAATGCTTAGGCTATAACCATTCAGCAAAAAACTGTACAGCACATCCTCGGTGCACAAGATGCGGATCAGAAGAGCACTTCAAAAATGAGTGTAACAGACAAACTCCTAGATGCATTAACTGCCACAATGTTAATACAAAATTCGAAACAAGACTGGAAACAAACCACATTAGTAGAAGTAAACATTGCGCATATTTCATTAAGGAATTACAAAGGTATAAGGAAAGAATAAATTATGAGTAATTTCACAGCAATTCAGATAAATCTTCAGCACTCAAGGGGTGCGACTACATACTTAAGAGACTACTTAGAAACAAATAGTTATATAAAAATAGCATGCATTCAAGAGCCCTACACAAAAAAAAGACAACCAAATACGTGGTTGTCCACTACACTATAGGAAGTATTACGCAAAAAATAGGGCAAAAGCAGCAATTATCTTAACAGATAGCAGAATCCCAGCATTAGAACTGTACAGCAACGAGTCAATATGTGTAATTAGGATAGAGGGGAGTACCCCATTCATTATGATATCGGTCTATTGTCCGCCTTCACAAGACATAGATCCAATTCTCAGCACATTAGAAAGTCAAATAGCGAATCAAAAAGACATCCCCATCATCATCAGCGGAGACTTTAATTCTAAACATCCAATATGGAGCCCAAATCACCCAGATCCAAGAGGACTCAAGATATGTGATTTCTTAGGCTACCACGGACATGAGTATCTTAAACGATCCGGAAAGCCCCCCCCAACATTCTCAGGAGCCAGAGGGTCTTCCTGGATCGACCTGACACTTCTCAAAAGACATAATCAATTAGCAATCATAAACTGGAAAGTTATAGAAGCAAACCTAAGTGATCATAATTTTATAACCTACGAAATAACAAATATAGAAGAAGGGCATAACTTAAATCTTAAAATGAAACTCTCCCAGGTGGACTGGCTAGAATTCAGACACACGATAAAAAGTAAATTTCAAAATAACAGCCACAGCAGATTAAGAAATATAAAAGACATAGACAAACAAATAGAAGACACCACCGTCCTCATTCAGGAGACATACGACGCAACAAAGAAATCGCAAGTAGGCCAAATCCGACACCACAGAAGCAATCCATGGTGGACAAAAGAATTAAACATCCAAAGAAAGAAGGTACGAGCCCTAAGGCGCCGTTACCACCGGGCTCCTGATTCAATAAGGAAAGATTTCCGTCTTAAATATAAGATCGAACAAGCTAAATATGAGAAAATAATTTCCAAAGCTAAAAGAGCTTCATGGGACGCATTTTGGCAAAGCCTACAGATCACATCCCCCTTGGCACTTATTATGATACTGCCAAGGGCAAAAGATTAGGTCCGCTCCAACTAAGTGCCATCCAAAAGGGTGACGGCACCCTAACTTCCACCATCGAAGATACATTAACAGAAATTCTAAGTTTCCACTTTCCCGACGACCCAAGCGTCAATGACACGGATGAGCACAGACACTAATAAGACAGAAAGCAACGAGTCCCATAGACACTCCACATGATGTAGACTCTACGAACATAGAGATAAGAAAAGGCAATAGAAAGCACAAAGAGAGACAAAGCGCCAGGTTGGACAGGCTTAACCACTCGTTGCGACTACCCCATCCTTCAACCCACCGAGTTGCTGCCTCATGACGAATTCAACGCCTGCTTTACAAGTTCATTGGACAGTGTGACAAGTATTTTCACAGTCGTTCACGACTTGGAGCAATTCCAAACTGGAACAGCTATTTTAGTTCTCCACGAATTAGCGTTCAGGCCAGAAAGAAACAGAACAGCGGGAGAATCGCTAGACAGACAAGACTTATCGCGTTCCACCCAGAAAGCAGGCAAAAAGGCTCTCGGAGACCTCCAAAGAACGCCTATTGATCCAGCGATCTGCATAAGCGTCTCTTCTCTACTCTCGATCAAGCGTCTCAGACAGGTAAAGTTACTTCTTAAGCACATCAAGCACAATAATGTCATAGATACTACATCACTCAATCAAACGATATGACAATGCAGCTCGTCTAAGAACAAATAAGATGAGGGCAGGATAACAGATAAGATCAACAAACAACAGAACTACAAAGATACAAACAGAAAAAACAAACGGCTCACCACTAGACTTCGTAGATGAATTGCGACTAGCCAATGAGGATCTCTTAACCCAAGTATTCAACGCCTGCCTTCATACAGGATATTTTCTACGCGCATGGAAAAATGCAGAGTTAGTTCTCTTCAAAAAGGAAGGAAAGAACCCCAAAGACCCCAGCGCCTATAGGAAAATCTGCCTCCTCTCGGCCTGGGGCAAAGTTTTCGATAAGCTTCTGACACAGCGTCTAGTACATCACTTAGACTCAAATAACCTACTGCACAAAGCACAATACGGATTTAGAAAAGGTCAAAGCACGATAGATGCCCTTGAGAACCTACAAAAGATCATCAACGAGAACAAAACAAATGGGCTGCACACATGCGTCATAGCTCTCGACGTCACCTCGGCCTTTAACAGGCTCTGGTGGCCAGGTCTAAAGGAGCAATTAATAAGACTCAGATGCCCCAAGAATATCTACAGGCTAATAAGCAGCTATCTTCACGATAGAGTTATAACTTACCAAAGAGACGGTTTTCACATCACACACACTTACCAAAGAGGAGCGCCACAGGGGTCTAACATCGGCCCGACCCTGTGGAATGGATATCATGGCTAATACGGCTTTAGAATTAGATTTGGAAGACACAGCAAGTCTTCAAGCTTATGCTGACGACTTCATCTTAGTAATTAACGGGGGTAACAGACTTATTATAGAACGGAAAGCAGAGAAAGCTCTCTCCATTATTTCTGCGTGGAGCTCAAAGTATAAACTAGATTTTAGCATAAATAAAACTAAGATGATAATCTTTCCAAAGGGCAACAAGATAATTAACAGTCCCCCCAGGATAAAATGGCACGGCCAAACATTAAAAAACCAGGGCACTCTCAGATACCTCGGCTTCCTATTGGATAGCAAACTAACGTGGGTTCCCCACCTATCAGATATAAGGAACAAGACTTGCAAGATAATAAATAATTTAAACCGAATAATAGAGTCCAAATGGAACTTAAAAGGTAGACTAATGAAAGACCTGTACCTAAGGGGAGTCGAAAGAATGATTCTCTACGGCTGCCCCGTATGGATGCAGGGCACAGTGAGACAAAGACAAAAACTACAACAAATCCAGAGGATCGCCCTGTTAAAGATTACAAAAGCTTTTACTACCACCTCCACTGCCGCCCTCCAGATCCTAGCCGGCACACTCCCATTAGATCTCAAAGCGGAATTCGAGCGAGTCACATACAGACTTCTGCACTTCAAAGAATCAGTGACACTAGAAGGTTCCATTCTCCTCGAAGAAACTCTTTTAGAACCATGCTTCAGTACAACATTCCTACATCCAGCCTCCCTGAGAGACTTCCGATGGGACAAACATGCCCCGTCCGATCAGGGATTAGAGATATTTACCGACGGTTCTAAAGACGACAAAAGAGTAGGCGCTGCTTTCGCAGTTTTCCACAATAGTCAAAAAATTTTTCAAGATCACTTCAGAGTCAGCGATCATGCCACAGGTTTTCAAGCGGAATCCCTAGCACTTAGGAAAGCAGCCCTCTGGGGAAGCAGTTCAGATTTTAACAAGATCTTTATCTACACAGACAGAGTATGAGCGTCCTACAGAGTATGAAGAAGACAGGCAAAATTCCAGTGCATATTCAATCCCTAAAAGAGCTTGTCTCTACTCTGAGTAATACCAAGTCACCCTTCACTGGGTAAGAGGTCATCAAGGGACAAGAGGAACGAACGGGCAGACACTCTCGCAAAGGCCGCCACATCTCGCCAAGACTTAGATATCTCCCTTCCGATCTCCACGAGAGCAGCCAAGCATCACATCCAAGAGGCTTTCATGTCACAATGGCAAGAAAGATGGGAACAAGGGGACACCGGAAGATACACCTTCGCAATCTTCCCGATCGTCAGGCTGTCAAGAGTTTACTCGAACCACTACACGGTTCAGGCCCTTTCCAATCATGGAAGGTTCCCCCAATATTTAGAGAGGTTTCTACATTTACACGTCAAGTGCAGTTGTGGATCACCCGCCAGCACAGCAGATGCCGTCCATTACATCACTTCATGCCCACTCTCCAAGTCGCTTAGATCTCCAGCCAATACCCCCTACTCCATAGTAAAGGTCTCAGAGGTTACCTAACGGATTTCTACGGTCTCCCGGAAGTAAGACAAATTGTCAGCTTCGTCAATAACAACAAGACCATCATACAAGCCATACCAGGTTAAAACCCAATGATATGTAAAAGGCAGCAGGACTTATATAAATATGTAAATAACTCACCTTTTTCATATATGTGGAGATCATCGACGACCGATGCTGACTTAGCGAATTACCAGCTGACGTCATACCAGCATAGCTCAGTGCGAATCATTCCAGACAGCGTCAGATAGCGTCCAGACGTGGACGAGAGTGGAGCGAAGCTCAGGCGAGCGGAAGGCTTGCTGGTCTTCAACAGTTAAAGAAGACAGACGTCTTCTTTGGTCTTCTTCGGAGTTTTGGTTCTTTTTGGTGTTTGTTGCTTAATACAAGCTGAACATATTATTTAAAGCTAGCCATGGATGTTTGTGTGAAAGGACTGAAATGTTCATCATTACATGAATCCTGCAACATTAATTTTTACTTAACCTTTATTACTTTTATCTATTTCTTATTATTAAAATAAAAGCATTTAAAATGCAATATTCGTGCTCTGTTTTGAAAGTAAATCCTACAAACTTTGGCGACCAACCGTCGGGCAACGAGCTCATCAACGAACTCGACAGTGTGTCAATAGCTGTGTATTGAACTGACTGAGTGAACTGTTATTCGATTTATTGGATCACTGTTTAAGTGTGTGGATTACACAATTGAAGACGATCATCAGAGTACAAAACTTTCTTTCCAATATGATGTTAGTAGAAATTCCAGAATTGGAAACAGCTTTAAAGAACAGTAAAAGTTCTGAAATCAAAAGTTTGCATAAGCTTATTTTTAATACTGATGGAGATCGAAATAACCGGAAAAGATTACGTGAATTTTCTGGCTTTATATTTAAACCAAATTCTCAAGAATTTAATAAGAAAATAGATACAGTGCAGAATAGTTTTACTTGAATTGAATGAGTTAATTGAAATTTGCAATGTACTATATATAAATTCAGAAGGGTTCAAAATCTGAAAAGTCGTAACCTAACCCGAATTGTCTCTTTCCTCTATGTGATTTATCTGTATTATCTTGAAAATATTTTGCATGAAGAAAATAGTGATATTGAAGATGAAACTGTTAATAAAATTTCTGAAGTAATGCTTAATGATAATCAAAGAGACAATCCTGGTTTTAACGAGTCTCAAGTAAATAACAATATGCAGCTTCCAATTCAAGATCATTTTAAACCTCATCTGAGTTTTTCGGATATTGAAAGTATTGTTAATCCTTTTTCTGGTAATGCATATGAAAATGTTGATAAATGGATTGATGAATTTGAAGATGTTATAAATTCTTTGAAATTGAGTGATTTGCATAAATTAGTTTTTGCTAAAAGATCATTAAAGGTAAAAGCGAAACTATTTATTCAGAGTGAACCTAAAGTTAATGACTGGTGTAAGTTAAAAAAGCTTTTGAAATCTGAATTTTATAAAGCTTTTAATTCTGCTGAATTGCATAAAATGTTTTGTAAGCGTAAATTAATGCCTAATGAATCTTTAGATGAGTATTTTTTGAAAATGAAAGAAATGTGTTCGCGAGGTAACATTGAAGATGCTTCATTAATTAAATATGTCATAGATGGTATTCCCGATTCTGTGGTGAGAAAAACTATATTATATGGTTGCGAAACAATACTGAATTTAAACAAAGGCTATAAATTTATGATAAAATGAGATCGGACAATGCTAAGTTTAAAAATGCGAAACCGAAAGTAGACACTCAAGTTAAAGATAGAAGCAAACTTACGTCATCAAATCGAAATCAATCTAACGTTAATAAGGTCAAATGTTTTAATTGCTAGGAATTTGGGCATAAGTTATCTCATTGTATAAACAAATCGAAGGGTATAAAATGTTTTAAATGTGAAAAGTTTGGGCATAAATCAACTGATTGTCAAAATCAGAACCCCGAGAAACAAGCTTTAATACAACGAATTTCTGATAAGGATAGAATTATGAAGACTGTAGAAATAAATAATTGGTTTAGTTGATAGTCTAGTTGACACTGGTTCAGATGTGACGATATGAAGCGTGGAGTTACACAACCAGATTGGTTC